CATTATTATTCCTTGGTAGTTCACCAAAAAAATTAAAATTTGATCACTCATCCAATGGATAGAATCATGCAATGCATATTATTGGAAATTTGGAATCATAGAATTTTTTTCCCACGCGCAAGCCTAAATTTCTGCCCGCTATAACCCGCCCATGAATGTATTTTTCTAGAATTGTACAAATTCCAAATCTCCCATTCACTACTGTCACATTTCTCCTCTCACTTTCATACATTGTTTAGGTTGGAGATTACCCACAACTATCTTCACTTTTTATTTTATTTATTTTATTTTTTTTTTTAAAAATTTTTGGGTTATTGATTTGTTCATTGGTTGAACTTCACGTGTTCTGTCGATCCTTTATTTGGTATTGCCATTAGGCTGATTTATTGCCGACCGCTTCATATAATTGTAAAAGTCATCTTTTTTGACATTGCCTCATAAGGGTTTGATTTGATGGGCTCTTGATTTTCTGGAGTCTGCTGGTGGATCTTTTGATTTCTTCACTGCCAGGTATCAAGAGTCTAATTCTTGTGCAATTTACTTTGATTTGTGATCCCAATATTCTGTGGGCTTTTTGTGTATTTCTGATTTGATTTTTGCAATGAATGGTTATTGCGGTGATCATTATGATCTCTGGGCGAAATGCATTTGCCTAGATTTACTGTGATTTGGTATATGGCCGCATGGAAATATTAATTTTGTCCGAGAAAGGTACAATCCCTGGAGAATAATGTACATCACAATGTGTTGTACATTGCTTTACTAAAAGTTAGCTGCCTCCGATACTCTTAATATACTGTTTAGTATAAGGAGTTTGTAATAATTAGTGTTTGATTTTGTGCTATAGAGAACTATATATTAGTTTCAAGTTCTGTTAGTCTTTTCTATCTTGCTTTTAGATTGTTACTGCAGTTCCTCGAAAAAATCAGTAATGCAGAAACTGAATTTAATAGCTATTAACTCGGTTGCCAAAAAAAAAAAAAAGACAACTACAAATTCGGAGGTTTGTGCCTTCCACGTGTTTGATTTGTTCCTTTCCACAGCTGTGATTGCTTATGACATTTGCTGAAGCTTCTATTAGTAAAGATTTTATCAATGTTATCCAACACAAATTCGATTTTTTTTTTTTTTCAAATATTAATATTGCTTGATTTTGTTAATATGCAAAACACAACATTGATGCTTTGACTCTGTATCTAAGGAATCACGTTTTAGTAATTCCTGACTTTCCCCAATTTTTCTACTACATTTATTCAAAACTGAATTTGCAAGATTCTGCAATCCATTGGAGGATATGAGTATCTGAACAACAAATAGTGTTGCAGAATATCTTCCCTTATCTCCATGCTTACCTGAACATGATCATATGCTATGGTTAGCTAATGGTCTATAAAATTTTTGCTCGCAACAATGTCTCTGGCCCTTTCCGTGATTGATCTTTTTCATCAGTTCAATATTTCAAGCATCAAAAAATCTGATCTTTGTGCCTGTCAACAGGGGTTGTTGATGAGGACATCACCTGTTTGACCATCTTATCTTGCTTTGGACTAATTAACTTTTGCTTTATTAGTTGGGTTTGTATTATGGGCCAGCCCAAGCCCCATAACTATTAGGTTTATTTTTATTATTTATATGTTTGTATTGAACTTCCAAGGGACGATGAATGGATTGATGAGGGCATCATCTGTTTGACCATCTTAGCTTGCTTTGGACTAATTAACTTTTGTTTTATTAGTTGGGTTTGTGTTATGGGCCGGCCCAAGCCCCATAACTATTAGGTTTATTTTTATTATTTATATGTTTATATTGAACGCCCAAAGGACGATGAATGGATGAAGTAAATTGCTTGGCTTGTGGCCTAATGTTTCCCTCTTCTCCCCCTTCTCCTTCTTCTTCGGTCTTCTTCCCCCATTCTCTTTGGTTCTCCCCCTTTTTTGCTACCCTTTTCTTTATCCTACATCAGCTGTGATATGTGGTCTCGTCATGAGCCGTGTACTCGCAACTATGAATGAAGCAACATCCTTTCTTTATAATAATTGTTGTGAAATTATAAATACATACCCATCTATGATGTAGTAATCAATGATTTTAATCCATTATATATGTTTTCACCTCAAGTACAACATACTCTTTTCCATTGCCTTTCTCTCTATTCTTAATGGCATTCAGGGCAATGCATCTGTAGGCATAAATCCTATTGGCTTCATCATCTTCATTACCTTGTTAAGATAAACAATGTTTTTAATTGTTGTTTGTTGAATTGTCTCCAGGAAGCTTGAACATTATCTTGTTCTTGAGAATGAAATTTGTGGTCCGTTAACTTGGTATAATGGCAGTTTCTAAGAGGACTGTTCTGGCCTTGAAGTCTTATCAAACCCAGGCTGAGGTGCTTGTTAAAAACTACATACTAGCAGATCCTTTTATTCCATACACTTCTGTCCTTGGTGGCACATTGACTTGCAAATTGGTATGTTTCCACTTTTTGAATTCCTTTCTAAATAATTATACCCGTAAATTTTGAACCATCTGGACAAGATTTTTATGTTTATGAAATTTTGAACCATAGTGATGGATACTTTTGTTGTGTTCTAAAAAACCCACCTAGCGGCGTCTAGGTGCGAGGCTTGGGCGAAATGCTATGCCCTAACAATGAGTGCCTAGTGACGCTTTATTAACCCCCCCCCCCCCCCCCCC